CGATGCTGGACAACCCCCGGTAGTCGACAGTAACCAGCGACTCCCAGCTTCTCCGAAAGATCCGGGAGAGAGCTGTCTCGTTCTCCTGCAGATTTCATCTCAAAACAGGGCGGACTCTCCAGGCGGACGAGGGCAGCTCCTGCGTTTGTGCCCCTTCTCATCCCAGTCCCTGCCCTGCGCTCACGGTGGGACATTAAAGGAGCATATGTGGGGCCGCTGGCTGCTGAATAGAAGCCAGACAGCCCCGCGGGCACTGTCGCCGTGCAGCCCCATGGGAGCCACAGCTGGCCCGCCTCACTTTTCCGACGAATTACATTAACACCAGGAGGCCAGAAGAGCTCGTGGTGAGCAAGGCCCAGCCGTGACCTGGAAGTCCTTCCATCTGCCCCAGCCCCCTTTCAGACGGCACGTGCACCTGTTACACATCGACCAGGCCTGAGTGCGAGGCCTCGTTTTCTGTTCTTGACATTTCCCACTCCCAGGGTCCCTCTTCGGCACACGTCCTCAAATCTGTCTCATCATAAATCAAGCAGAAGAGACATGCCGTGTCCAGACCCCAGCACTGCGCCTGCAGCCTCCCTCCCTCCAGTTCCCGGTTCACTGCTGCGCCAGGAGGTCTGGCGAGGGCAGCGTGCCTCTCTCTGCGCTGGGCAGGTGCCTCCTGTCCCATGCTCCTGATGCCAAGAATTCTCTTTCCATGTCCTGTCACCTCATCCGGGAGTTCTGTGCTGGCCAATAACAGCCCCCTCGGGCACGTATGTCCTCATCCCGGGGACCAGCGAGTACTGAGTCTGCCCAGCGAGGGGACTGAGGCTGCAGCCCCGGCTGGGCTTGCTCATCAGCCTCCCTTAAGGTGGGCAGGGACCAGCAGATGGCGTAATGGTTACATTGCTGGACTCCCACGTAGTCGACCGCAGTTCAAGTCCCGAACCAGCCACTTAAAACTCTTGGTACGTGTGCCTGCCTGCCCGAGATCCCAGAGAAAGGATTGAGGCATGGCCAACTCCCCCGAGGGGTGATTTCTCACCTTCTATGTCTCTGTCTCTCTCTGATTCTCTGGCATAGCAAAACTCTCTCAGGGAAAAGGAGAAGAAAGGTGGGGAGGCAGCCTGCGTCGCTCACAAGCCCAGTGTCGTGCCCAGGCCCTTCGGGGGGCATGGCAAGGATCTGTGACAGGAGGTAGACTCTACCAGCTAGCCCTGACTGCTGGCAGCCACGGTTTTATTTTTTCCCGGGGGCGGGGAGAGATTTTTGCTATAGGGGCATGTGTGCTTGCCGTGCATCCAGGGACTGGGGACTGTGAGTCTCCACGCTTACCCTGCTCTGCTCAGCCTCTACGACGTGCGGCCACGGAGATCTCGTTCTAAGAGGTCGGATGACACCTCGCTTGCTGGAAACTTGTCAGCCAGTCCTCGCTGTCTCAGGAGGAAACTGAAGTGACTTGCCTTTGCCCTGCTCCGTCTTCCGGCAGCTCCCCGCCATTCTCCCACCAGGCTGGTATTTAGCTTTCATTCCACCAGAAGCTTCTTTTTCCTCAAGTTTATTTCTTCCATGAGAATCAGAGACAGAGCCAGAATGACAAGTACCTTCAACTGGGGCTCATGCCACAACCCCCCACCCCAGTCCTGGCAGGCAGCCAGAACCAGGGTGCCAGAGTCACCAGACTCAGATGAACATCCACAGATGAACTAGGGAACCTGACCCTCAGTCTTCCACCTGGAGCCAGCACGGCTTGAGCAGCACCAGCTGGGCCTCTGCTGGAGGCTTCCCAGTAGGCTCTGCTGTTCGTCTGGAGATTGGGAAGCACAAGGTCGTTCACTTTTGCACGACGGATTCTGATCGCTAACAACGCAGCGACTGGCAAGGTGCGCTTCTGACTAGCCGTTCTGGCTGGGTGCGGATGGGACCTTCCACTCCCCCTCTCTGCAGGTTCGAGGCTGTCCTGGCTGCTCACAGCTCACTGTGTTCCCCTTCTCTCCACCGAGAGTCATTACAGCAGGAAACCAATTGTGTTTACTTCTGCCTTCTTAGTGAAGTGGCAAGAGCACGCAGTGCGCTTCTGCTTTTCTTCATGGAGTAGGACGAAGGGTGGGTGGTTAAATAAACGAATCAACGAATCGGGATGGTAGTGTCTTATTACTAGGTGGCTTTCAGCAGACGAATTTTAGAGTGTGTTTGGGCGCCCTCTAGGGTGGAAAAACAGAACAGCACTGATTCTGACTTAACCTGTTACATGAGGTTTGGCGGGTGAGCAATTCCTGGTGATCTGACCTAAAACTCTGGCCTCCGGGAGGGTCTAGCGTGTTTTTGGCAGTTCGGTGCATTGCACTGATAATTCAGTAATTAAATATTTTTCTGCTTCAAATACCTAGATGAAATACCTAGCAAACTGGAGAGCCACAGGTGGGTTTTGTAGACCTGATACCAATTTGACCACTGTCTTAATTTTAATCACTGGCGTGTGAGGATGGACTAATTTACTGTGTTTGAGTTCTGTCATAGCGATGACTTGGGAGAAATGCGGGTTCTGGAAACAAATTATCTTCTTTCTGATCTACACCAAGATTTTGCAATTGCTTGTGAAACCAGCCCAACACTTGTTTTTAAAAAGGGAGGTTTTATTGTTTTTGTTTTTATTTTTTTTTTCCTGGAGGGGTCTGTGTATTTCCTGTACAAGTGAGAGAGATGGGGAGAGGAAGCCAGCAATAGCACCCAACGGGGCCCTGACCCGTGACCCAGCCAAGGGGATGGGCCTGCATGCACCTCAGTACATGGGTGCTCTGCGGACTTGGGGACCCTCTCAGTCTGCCTCACCGGATGGTGCTTTAACAGCCGGCACAACCACCTCCACTTCTGTGCCAGGAGCAGGTGGGAGGGCCGCACAGGCCCAGCCCCAGCAGGAGCAGCTCCTCGGGGAGCCCACACTCTTCACTGCTGTCTCCGCCAGGGCCTGTCGAGCCCTTGGCTCCTGTGCCCACCGGAGACAGGAGGGCGGAGGGCACCTGCCACCTGCCTGTGTGTGCAGAGTGGGCACGGCGGGGCTGCCGAGACTCTGGGGAGTGGTCAGCCATTCTCCCTGACCGAGCAGTTCTGAGCACACAGGCTCATTCCTTCTGCCGACAGCCCATGATGGAAGGCCTGGCCTCCTTGATCCTCCCTGCCGTCATGACCGGAGGCGAGGCTCAGCCTGCTGACTTGGTGTCTACCGTCGGGGACCCCATTGCTGAGTGGGGGTTTCCACGCCAGCAGGGCTCGCGTGGCAAGGCACCACATTGGGGAGAGACCAGCAAACACGGGGGCCTTTGCACAGGGGAAATCCGAAGGCACTTTGCCGTGAGCCTCCTGAGCCTCGAGGGCCGGGCAACGCTGTGGTTTCCCCCACGCCCACACTTAAAGAGGAGGCGGGCAGAACACCACGCCCCAAACCCTTCACAGCACTGTCCACCTCCGTTCTCAGAACCTGCTGGGGGGCATGGGGTCAGATCAGCTTCTACGTTTTAGAGCCTCAATCTCAGGGCTTTTTTTTTTTTTTTTTTTTTTTTTAATCTCTTTTTA